AAGTGTGTTCGTGTGTGTGCATATGCGACAGCTGCATTTTGGGGTAACAGGACAACTTTTTAGAGTCAATTCTCTCTTTCTACTTTTTACTTGAGTTCTGTGGATCAAACCCAGGTCATCAGGCTTGCAAAGCAAGCACTTGTACCCACTGAGCTATCTTGCTTGCCCAACCTTTTTATTTCTTGATTTGCTTTATTTATTTGTCACTATATATGAAAAGTTTGTGTATTTGTTTGTACTTTAGAAAGATAAGGCCTGTTTCTATCAGAGAAGCATAGATCTCAGTGGGAAAGATGTCCCAACATTTCAAAAAACAAACAAAACTAATAAACAAACACAAAATTGATTTATATGTATCCATATTGATTTAAAATTAATGGTGACCTTAGTGTCATTTTGTTCTAAAAAAAAAATGAAGTGATGAGTAGTACTTTCCTGTATTATAAAATTAACACAGGGCAGAGGATTTCGTTCAGTAGTACACTTGCTTTATTCCCTACTTTCAATACCCAGTAGCTACAAAGAAAGGAAGGAAGAAGGAAAAGAGGGAAAGAAGGGAGGCAAAAGGAAGAGAGAGGCAATTTGTGTAACAGTGATGAAATGAAGTTACAGTTGTGTAATGGGCCTTGAGAACTTCTCACACACTACATGTACTGAGAAAGCTATGTCCTTGCTTCTCAATTAGGGAGAAAATGTCAGGACAGCACAAGAAGACAGAGCTTGAAAATGTAGAATAATTATTTCAAAAAAAGAATTTGAATGCTGGAAAGCAAATGATCATGTTATATAGAAATTTATACTTAATTTTCTGTGCTTAAATGAAAGAAGCAGAGTATGTGTACGAATATCCTTAATCTTACTTTCTTTAATGATGTGTTGCACATCTGAATCGGAATCTTAATGGCTTTCAGAGCTCATCTTCTGGGAATTTCTCTGTCTCATATCTTCAGGTTTGATCACTTCTTCTCATAATTCATGATCATTTAGCTACAACTCAGAATACAACTGGAAAAAATTGGACATAAACCTATGAAGGTGAATTTTAGTGTCACCCATTCAAATGAGAAACATGAAACAAAATTCACTGAGAGGTAGAAACTGAGATGGGACAAGGTAAAAAGAACATAAAACACAGAGAAAACACTAGATATATTTCCTCCTTCTAACAAAAATGTTCTTTTTCCCTTGTCTAGATATAGACACATGGATTTTTTTTTTTTTTTTTTTTTTTTTTTTTTTTTTTTTTTGGTTTTTTTTTTTTAGGATTTTTCAAAGTCAAGAAGATCTTTTCCCAGGGTCACAACATCAGGATGGGAATTTTTCTGTGTCACTTTGCCTAGGTTATACTTACCTAGTATTTGGACAAAACACCAGTCCAGATTATTTTTAATGTAACTAACATATAAACCAGGAGTTTGTGAGTAAAGCAAATTACCCTCTAAGAAATTGAATGAGCCTTATGTAGTCACATGAAAGATTAAGAGAATGAACTTGTTTTCAAAGGTGAAGTGTGTCAGTCTGTAGAATGCCTTATCTTACGACTGAAGCATTGCCTGGTCCCCCTTTAAGTGCCAATATGCCCTGTGTATTTTATATTGGTCACTCCTGGAATATCACATTAGAAGATGTTCTATGAGTATCCTATCCATCTATCCTACCTGCTGTGTTTCCAATACAAACCAATGGAGACAGCTTCCATGCAGATTTGAGTGCTACTGTTTAGACATGGAAGCTACTGCTGGCTGCTCCATTGTGTTATAGTCTCTGTAAGGACAGACAAGTTATTTCTGTTTAAATTTATGTGTATTCTGTCTAGAATTTAGCTGCTTTGTGATTACACTATTTAGATATTTTAGTCTTTGAAATTACATGCAGAATATCATGGAATTTATATGTGGTAGGAAATATATAATTAAGCATGATACAGAAAATCAACAAATGAACTGTTAAGACTTCTAAGTCTTTTTATTTTGTGATTTGTTTGTTACTTTATTTTGCATTTGTTTGAAGGTTTTTCCACTACTAAAATGACCACAATACTTATTAAACTAATACTTTAAGTGTGAGATGTGGTATGGAATGTAATACATAGTTTGTGGCTACCTTAACAATACACACTTATAATTTTCTCTGATTAAGGTATATGTCAGGGTAACATATTTTTTATATTTATTCAATTTCTTGATTATTTTGAAGGAGGTATGGTAAAGTTTACAAGGCATGTTAGAATTCAAGTATTAAATGTACTGCTCTTCATCTCAAAATATTTGTTCTAGAAGTTATTTTAGTTGTTCTGAGGGGATAAAAAAATGCATCTCATATATTTTCTCATTTATTATGCAGATGATTATAACATTTAAATAGGAACATAAGGTACAAGAACATAGTTTGATCATTTCCTGGAAATTACACTAATATGAATGAGTAACCAGAAGTGGACTTTTTGATTACCTATAAAATGACACACAGACTTTAATAAACTTCTTATCTCATCAGACATTTATTAAGGATTCGCTGTTAGAAAGGGTTTGGGAGCCTAGCCTCTGCAAGGCTCTAGGAAACATACAGAGGTTATCAAGAAATGTCCTCTGCATTTTTTTTTCCTTTTTTTTTTTTTTTGGTCTTAGATTGGGGGAATAAATTGTGAGTAATTTAAAAAAAAATTTTTCTTCAAAATTTTCTACTTAGAGAGATATGACCTTTTAGAAATCATAACCTTCTAACATTGATGAGCACATTTAAAAATCACATGTTCTGAAAAAAAGTCCTTCGCTGAGTATATAAGTTATCACATGGAAGGCTCTGAGTTTGATCCTCAGCTTTGGAAATAATAAGTCCCTGGATTAAGAGTATTTATGCTCTTTATAAAATTCTCACATGAGAAAAGTTCTCACAAGTGTCACTTCCAATGCCCTCTTAGAAATCCTAAAGTTAAATATGCTTAAGTATCATGAAGCTCTTTCCACTAGCCAGTGAAGGAAATTTCCCAGGCCATAATCCTATCTGGTTTTTAAAGAATATTCTGCTATATCATCTCATCAAAAATTATGGCTTGATTCCATTAAATACCATTGTCTGTATTCTCTTTCCAGGGTATACATTGGAAAAGGATAGCCCCCTCCTAGTTATATTTACTAATAGAAATAGACTTCATGTAATAAGCGTACTTAGCGTTAGACTCCAAATAGTTAATTATCTGAGTCATGTGAAGAAGATAGTTAGATAAATCAAAATTGATTCCCATTTTTAATGACAGCTGCCCTAACAAGGAAACCAGATCAAAGATAACATTATTCCATGTATTTTCAACAAGGTTAAAGGAGGAGTCAGACCAGTGACAGTGCATTTAGTAATCCATCGGCCCTGCTTAATGAATGCTGATATGTAGCAGTCTGCTAATATTATTCAGTAAGATGATTAAGTATCCACAGAATAAGTGTGTGATGAAATGAACTTTCCATCTTGATTTATCTCCGTATTCCAGCAACCAAATGATATTCTTCCTGAAAACTAGGATTTGATCCAACTTCCTTATTAGTAAGTTGAATCCCAGCCTATTTTCCTATTAGTTTCCCAAGCATTTTTTTTTCAAGTTTTCAGTCATTTTCCAACCCCCAGTGATGCTTTCATTTGTTAAACTCAATATTTCTTTTCAGGTAAGTTGACCAATTACAAATATTCCATCAAAAACAAGTAACCAGTCTTTCCTGACATATGTAACAAATATGATAGTTCATATTTTTCAATTATTTTTCTCCCTTTTTTTAATGTCAAACTTGTGTGCACAAGCATGTGAATGGACACACAGGAGGCAGAGACACAGGGAGAAAAATTCCATTCCTCCATATCATTGATTATTGCTGTACTTCTCTTAGTTTAAAAAAAATAACTTTGATGCTTGTATCAGCCTTCAAAGGCAGATAGTATCTCATCACCACCTCCGGAGAGTGTTTTCAAATCTATCCTATTTTCTTTTGGCAGTTACTTGCTGTTGAACAAAGTCATGAATCTTTGAATCCTTGCGCATGGCTATGAGAACTGTAGCAGGCAGTTTTTATTGCTATGGGTTTAGCATTCAGCCTTGTAAACATCTATTAAGTTGATGATTAACTCTGACTTGGGAAGAATTATGTTTCCTGTCATTACTTGATATTGTTGAAAAGTTAATATTATTTTAGAAAGGTTTAATGACATAACATACAGAAAACTTTATAGGATGTTTAGTATGCTACAATTTCTTAGTAAGTTTCTTTGTAGTCATTTTAAAGTGTATTGAAATAGTGGGAATTTGCTCTTCAGATTAAAGACATTTTAAGGAGTTTTAAATAGTTTGATGGACATTTATTTCTTTATATTGAAAGTTTTTGTGAATTTTTGTGACAAGCATAATGTAAATATCACAAAATTTAATATTGTTAAAATAAGAATAGTTTGCTTTATTTTGTAGTTGTTACCTGTGTATAAATTGTTGAAAAATAAAATGAAATATAATAAAATAAAATATTAAAGCCACAATTATCAGATATTACTGGAAACCATGAAGTTCACATTATATGTCTCAAATAAAATACTTTTAAAGAAAGTTTGAGGTGAGGCTGAAGAGATGGCTCAGTGATTCAGAAGAGTGCTGCTTGCTCTTACAAAGGGCCTGGAGTCAGCTTCCAGCACCCGCATGGCAGCTAACGACTATCTGTAATTTCAGTATCCAGGGGATACAATGATCTCTTCTGGTCTCAGCAGGCACTGCACAACACAGCATGGATGTATTTACATACATGCCGACAAAATGCTCATACACATAAAATAATAAAATTAATTAAAAATAAAGGCAAAGCATACTTTAAAAATGTTTAAGCTACTGACATAGCCCCCCCCCCCAAAAAAGACTGAATTTATGTGCTACTTATTTGCAGGAACTTTGTATCATAAACATTCAAATTTTGGAGGAAAACGTTTACCATTGGTGTTACTAATATGTCATTGCTTTGTTTATCTTTCAGGAATACACAATAGATATAATTTTTGCACAAACCTGGTTTGATAGTCGTTTAAAGTTCAATAGCACCATGAAAGTACTCATGCTGAACAGCAACATGGTGGGCAAAATTTGGATTCCTGACACTTTTTTCAGAAACTCGAGAAAATCTGATGCTCACTGGATAACAACTCCTAATCGCCTGCTACGAATTTGGAATGATGGAAGGGTTCTATATACTCTACGGTAGGTAAAATTGATTTACAATGTAGTTAGTCCAAGCATATTCACTGCTAACTGGTTAGCTTAGCTCCTAATCAGTAATCTTTCATCCTTACAAAGTAGGACATATTGGGCCCTTTTCAAATGTTAAAAATCTAAAATGTTGACATATTTTGGCAATATTACTTTATACTCAGAGATTTTTTTTATGAACAGGTTTGGAAAAACACTTTGATTTCTTCTTTGGAAGCAGATCTACAATGCAAATTACCATGACTTTTCTCTGGAAGTTTAAAATCATCCTGATTTTTAGCAGTGTGATAAAACATCATGAAGAAAATCTTGACGTATGAGTTTAGGGTTAATTATTCCCTTCAACACATCTGCTCATTAAAAATCTTAATGGAAAGATGGTCAAACTAAATTAAGAGAAAAAATTACCACAGGTAGCCATGTAAAACATATTAATTTGGTACACCGATGAAGATGTATTTGCTTGTGTATATTTTTGGAGTCCCTGAAGCTTGAATTTTTTAAATGTAAGTACAGAGATTGTAGAGATCATATTGAACAATACAGAGTACAACTTAGTTGGCTGAAGAAGTTAGAATTTTCATAATCAGTTGTGAATGGGGTAATATTTCTCTTTAAACTTTAGAATTATTATTATACTATATATCTCTCTCCATTACTGGAGGCCAAAATTATGTTTTAAATTTGGACAAGAGGGGGCTGGAGAGATGGCTTAGCAGTTGAGAATACTGGATGTTCTTGCAGAAGACCCAGGTTTGAATCCCAGCACCCACATGGCAGCTAACGGTTGTCCGTAACTCCAGTCCCAGGGGATCCGACAGCCTCTCTGACCTCCGCTGGCATTGCACGACACGGGTGCAGCTTACCTACATGCAGGCAATACACGCATACACATAAAATAAAAATTAAAATAAAATTTGGGCGAGCGATCTTTAATGATTTAAACTATTCCTCTTTCTTTAATACTGATTTCTCTTTATCTAAATAGATTGACAATTAATGCAGAATGTTATCTTCAGCTTCATAACTTCCCTATGGATGAACATTCCTGTCCTTTGGAATTCTCAAGCTGTAAGTGAAAAAATGTGATAATTCTACAGTATTTTTTTCCTCAAAATATTCCATTAAAATTTATAATAAAATGAAAAGTAATGAAATATCCCTAAGTGTGAATATTACTTGTTTTAGGTAAAATAATTATAAAAAACACATTTGTTTATTTTTTAAGTCAAAAAGTGAAGATAAATAGTGAGTGCATATATTTTATTTAAAAAAATCTTCATAACTTTAATTTCATCCATGTTTTTCTTATTTTGAATAAAGGAGTTCTGTATTCAAGTATTTATACACAACCAAAATAAAAATTTGATTCAAATTAAACCCATCTTCCTTGAGGCAACATTTAACTTTATTACATTGGCTTTTAAAATAGGTTTTAAAAATTGGTTGAGTGGAGAGTATTTACTGTGTGACTAGCAAGTATGTGAGTGACTTTAATGAGTTGGAAAAGCCAAAGCAGATATCAGCTAATTTAGTGAAAGAAAATCACAGTAACTGTACAGGTGTTCAGAACTCAATAATTTGAAGATAAAAACCTAATCTGCTATTTTCTTACCATGAGATAGTTACAATGTTTTTACAGAAATATTTATTTTGTTTCACATTCACTAACATTTTACTCATATTTATATAAAAATAGATAATTATTTTCTTAGATATATTTAAAGTCAGTTTTAAAATAGTATTGCCTACATTTATGAATTGTTTAATGCTTTTTATTTATTTTTACATATCGTGATTTTCTTTTCATGGAGTAAAATCTAGAGTCAGTTCCTATTCAAGTGTGATATAACTAGCCACTGCTAAGTTTTACCAAATTTTATTTTTTACTTACTACTCAAATATATTTTACCTTCATTAAATAATTTTTGGAATATGTTAATAATCTTATTACAATTCACGTCAATATTAACAATCTCATATATAAGCTCTCTGTTTTATAAACTTTAACTTCTCAGAGAATAAAACATCCAAATGACAACAAAGATTTGATTAATGGGAATACTCAAGTAATATTTGATATGTGAATATTTGATGATTTGGCTGTCATTGTAGTCTTTTGTAGATGCTATTTTAAATTGTGGGTGTGATATTGCCCCAGCTTTGACTGGTGTTACAAGCAATTTCTATGTCCTAGTAACTGCAAATGGGTGTTGACAACATGAACATAATGATCATAATTACAGTTCTTCAGGTTGGCTGTACAGGTCCAGGAAAAAAATTAAAGCTTTTATCTCCAGTGTTTTACAACCAAGTGTGGAAAATTCTCTTTCATCCTAATTCTAATACCCAGTGTCATGATTCTCAAAGCACTAAGTATCTGCATTTATTAGTGCCCACATTCCCACATAGTATGACTACACTACATTGTTTCTGTAACTATAATGAATATTAAAAAACAGTATCAAAATCTAAATCCTCAGAAGAAATGAAAGAGTAAATACTCTTAAACACCTCAGCAGAGCTGACAGCTGTTTTATGTTTACCAATGGAATAACTAGCAAAATAATACATTTCTTTTGAAATATTTCTAGTGATAAGGTCAATCTATTTGTACAATATGGTACATACACATGCTCTAGAAAAAAAAAGTTAAAAAATTCACTTTATTGGGGCTGGAGACATGGCTCAGTGGTTAAGAACACTGGTGTTCTTGCAGAAGACCTGGGTTCAAATCCCAGCACCCACATGGCAGCTAACAACTGTCCGTAACTCCAGTCCCAGGGGATCCAGCAGTCTCTTCTGACCTCTGCGGGCATTGCACGACATGGATGCACTGACCTGCATGCAGGCAACACACACATATGCATAAAATAAATTTTTTTTTAATTGAAAAAAAATAAGTACCATCTTTTCAATAGTTGTCTGCAACCCCAATTGAGATTGAGTTTTTA